CCAGCGGGACTGCTCCGGCTCCCCCCGCAGCAGCCAGCACAGCTGGCTCCCCCGTACAGCTGCGCCTCACCTCCTCGCCTACCTGTCTTGCTGAGTTCCAAGGCAGCCGTGCCGCTTGCAAGACAGAGTAGGTGGCTTTGATGCACCGTAGCAGAAATGACCTGTGCCTTTACTAGCTTTTCTGAAGATTTTAATAACCTCAGAAGTGTGTCTTTCTTTCCGATTATATTTCTAAGCTTTGTAAACTAAACTGTTTCCTGTGATATGCTATAGATCAGCTTTTGCGAGGTCTGTGAGGGCTGAGAAAAGTGAGCCTTTTGTCCCAAGGCTGATTTCAGCTGTACTTAACTCTTTGTCTCAACTGGAAATTCTTAGGGGTCTGCAAATCGGAAAGGTCAGCAACTGTAGTGTTAGAAACACGGATAGATAGTGCATGAAAATGAGACCTAACCTCTAAAATGAAAATTGACCTCTAAAATGAGAAATGAATCTCTGTTACCCTTGAACAACACCCTGATGGCATTTCTAAATCCCTCGAAGTTCGTACGATGCACTTTGCGTGCGTCTCTCTGAGTAGTGTGGAGAGAGAGTCCTTTTAAGGTGAATTCTTTAGAAAGCACACCTCATTGACTTCAGTGTAAATTTTAACAATGGCTTTGGTGTCAGCAAAGGCAGGTGAATACTAACCGCTTTTGAAGCTCGTGCCTTGGGACATCTGCACGAACGCTGCCTTGCTCTTCGTTAGCAGTTGCAGATGTTAAGCTCTCTGGCGTGCTCAGGACACAGGAAGGGGAGTCAGTTCCCATCTGCTCCCAGCCCTCCGCGAACACGGCTTGTGGGCCTTGGCAGACCAGGCGACATCTGTGTGCTTCTCTTTACTCCTGTGCTTGGTAGTCCTTGGTTTTGACTCAGGAGTCTGATTGGGTTGATTTTAACAGCGTTCCCGAATGCGTCTTGACTTGTGACATGAAGCTTTGTTGAGTTCAGAAACACCCGCGTGCAGGAGCTCTTGTGGCAAGCATCGCCTCTTCATTCCAACGACAAATAAAACTGGCATTAACAACTTTCTTCTGCTTACTGTTGCCCATTGTCCACTTTTCACGTAGTTTGTCCTCCCGGCTTCAGCTTTCGCTAGGTAGGAGCAGCTGGGAGTTGGTTGCTGAGCTGCAGGCTGCTGGACGTGGTTGCACTTCGTTGCAGGCGGGCAGTTGTGCTTGCTTGCATGGGAGACTGAGCTTGGGGTTTTGAAGTTCGGGGAAGATGTGAAGAGGTGAAGGAGGGAAAGCGAAAAAGGATATGTTTCAAATCAAAGCCTTTTGATGCTGAAATTGCCTAACTCAAACTCTGTCTTCACACATCAGGGCTTAAGGCTGATAGTGATTTACTTACACTTCCTAGTTAATAATTAGACATTGGGAGACACCATATATCACTCCTAATGGAATATATGGGGTCTGATGAGAGTTTTCTGTTTTGACTAATAAATTTTAACCAGAATCACCAAGCTTAATGAAATATTACAGCTTCGGAAGTGTTTTAAGTCTTGTGCTGTGAAAACAGTGTTTCTTTATTCAGTAAATGAATTTATCATTCATTCTGTATCCTGAGCCCAAGTTGACTTTGGAGCATGGGCTGAATGCAAGACTCTGAACTAGAAAGCGGAAAAACTAATCAAATCCTTAAAGACCAAAGGCAGCGAGGCAGGTCTAGACTGACTTTTTCAGTGGTAGCCTCTGGCTACATCCACTTTTATTTTAGTAACCATTGTTAGCATGATTTATAACTTTAGCTTTAAGACGTACACTATTTAGATGTAATAAGATGCTTCGCAGCTTTTATTTCTATTTCCTGATTTCCCTCTTGTCCCTGCTCTTTTTTTACTTCCCCCTCAGCTTTTTGTCTCCCTCTCCTCTCCCCAGCAGTGTCCCCAGTCCTGCAGTTGACGCTGCACTGGAAGAACATTTCACTGTCAGCCCCAAGGTCAGCAAAACCGCCTCTCTCAGCTAACGGCTGGTCGGCTGGTGGCCTGGTTAGTGCAGAGGGGACGACTGTGTGCAGGGTTTAGTCTCCTACTGCTGCACTGAGCTTTTCCCTGCTAAGGCTGGTGAGAGGATCCTCTGTACACGGAGGAGAGGACGTGCCCCCCAGCAAATAATGGGATCCCTGCTGTCGCCGTGCGAAGTGGCACACGGTTCAACTCCGTGCCCTTCGCAGCTGTCACGGGGAATGCTGCCTTGCCAAAAGGAGTGTGATCCTGTCCGACGAGATCCTGCTCGCTTCCCAGGTGCAGCATTAGGAACCTGCCCCAAAAATGCATCTCTTTCTAACCAGTGGGGACATAGCTGTGAGACCTTGGTGGCACTCCTTAGTCTACTGGCTTTGGTGGGCCAGCAGCAAGAGCAAGTCCTGCTG